AAAAAAATAGATCATAACTAAATTTATGCTATTTTTAAGCTAAAATTGTTACACAAACTCTACAGCTTAAGAGATAGCATTTCTACAGATAAATCATTTAAAGAAATATTAGTATCAAGCATAATTAATGAAAAAAAAATAATCACAGAGCAAACAAAGAGGTTAGGAAAACTCAAATGCCACACTGAAGTACAAGTAAAACTTACAGAAAAAAAAGCAAAGTTGCTTGAAGAAGGTATAGTAGAGAAATATGATAGGCCCGGAAGGCCATTAGCGGCGATGATTTATTCTGATTTTTGGGATAAAATTCATGATTGCATTGAGTTTGGAAGTGCGCACTCGAAAAGAAGAAAAGTTGTAATCAAAGTACATACTATAAAACACCTCCGACAAGCTTTAAAAGAGAAATATAATATATATTTATCTCGTCAATGCATATCCATATATCTTGAGCCCCGCCATCCACATACCACCTAGCTAAGGTCGCTCTTGTCTCTGTATCATGAACCGAAATGAAACTTCATATTGATGAATACTATTGCTTAGCATCCGTTAAGGCTGCCCAAACTTTTGCTAAAGTATTTGCTGATGACATAGTTATCATCTCTCAGGATGATAAAGCGAAGGTTGGTTTAGGTGTTCCCGCGGTTGGGCGTACGTTTAAGACATTACAAACCGTCAATGAACCCGTTTTAGTTGCCGATTACGATTTTCCAGTTGGTAGTAAAATGAAACTCATACCCTCCATTTACCTCATTATTGATCCAGCCAACTCAAACGATAGTCTTAGATTAGGACAACTTTCAATCTTCATTAGGCCTAAGTATTTTGTTGACACATTGTCTTTAACTCACATGTCAGACCTTCAAAGTATTATCTCTAATCAACAGTTTGCTGGAGCCCTAATGAAAGAGAATAAAATCAAATACATTCTTGTTCTTCTCATTTTTGGAGGACCTGATGAAAACCCGAAACATATGAAAAATATAATTCAGTATTGTAATTTCTTTTGTAAATTCGATCTTGATTACTTAACTATTTGTACACATGCCCCTGAGCAGAGTGCGTACAACTCTGTTAAACTTAGTATGGCTTCTCTGTCTAAAAAGCTTGCAGGCATCACATTACTTGTTGATAAATTTGGTTTACATCTAGATAGCCAAAGGAATGTATTAGACAAATATTTAGCACGTAGAAATTTTGAATTTGCAGGAAATAGCCTGTGTGATATATGAAGAAGAGATAAAATACATGGCAAACCTGTTCCAGTAGAGTATGTAGACCAAATAAGATAGCCATTTGCAGAATTAGAATCTTCAACGTCATGGGAATGGATAGAGAATCATACACAAATATGTCATTATTCGTTAGATATAAAAAAGTGCAAAAGCTCTTGGTGTTGCAGCGAATATAGAGCACCTGATGCTGCACTTCTTTTGGATCAGAACGATGGATTTCTTCTTCCTATTATGAAAGCAAAAGATCAACATTATATTAATTCTATACATGCTCTGCAATACTATGATAAGCTCAAAATATTACTATATAATCGCTATTGTCTGTCTATTCTACATGAGCTTTATCAAAGACTATACTGTAATATATGTGGTAAGTATTTTCCCACCCTCAAATACATTACAAATCACAAACGAAATGGGCACTCTTCAAATTATAGATGTCCACCTCGACATTCAGTTATTTTCAACGATACTGAAGACATATTACAATCGAACCCACAAGTAGTTATAGAATAGCGAGAAATACAATCAGACGTTGAATAGTATATACTGTATTTTTAATATTTTAACCTCAAAAATTTAATAAACCTAAACTAACATGAAAAATCTTAACATTAGAATAAATTTTTAAAAAACAAAACTGAATAAATACAAAAATTGGATACTTAAGTCACTGGGATAGCATATCAACCAAAGTTTATGTTAAAATTCAACTGATCTCACAGTAATTCTTTCACTCTATAGCTTTTCCACTCTGCATAATAAAATTAAATTGCAAGGTTATTGAGTACCCTCACAAATATTAAAATCCAACGGTTATTACTTGACTATAAGCATATAGACTAAATTCTTGATTAGATTATGGTTTACTAGTTGTATGCTTCTTCAACTTTGCACTTGCTTTAAATAAAGTAACAACTCAATATTAAAGCTTTGATCTTTATAATAGTGCTATATGAAAAAGAATTTAAGAAATAGTTTATACATAAGTAATGTAGAGCAAAATTTTAAATTTGCACGTACAATAAAATTCGGTAGTACATATCTGATATATCGGGTACGTACGTACTATATAATAGCTAATATATTAAACTGCCATATATACACGTACAAGATCTGGATCTATATGTAGTATATGGAGTCTATTATCTTGTATATATATAGCTATATATACAATATATATATATATATAACCTGATATTTGATTGACCCCCCCCCCCTACCCTAAAAAATCAGGTAATAAATGGTGCTCCCCTAAAGGCAGAATTGCTTAAATATAAAAAAATATAAAGATAAGTATGCACTATATTCTGATCCAAGCATATTATATAAAACCACTGCACAATTTACAATTATGTTCTGAATTTATAAACGAGTATTTGTAGATTGACAAAGTGAATTAGATGTATATTTGAATATATGATATGTAAATTCAGATATTGATATATTAGAATAGTAGAGAACAAATAAATTAAATTATTCAAATCTGGCAAAATTTGTGTAAGATTGTCTTTTGATCTCTGCAACAAGCATTCCAAGCAAGAAGGTATTTAGCATTAGTGAAGATATAATAACTGTTTATCTAAAAAAACAGTGGGTCTGTAATGTGTTTAAAGTCATGGTAAAAAAGATATCAAGATGAGAAAAATGAGCAAGATTAAATTGGGCTTGTAAGTTTGAATAAAAAAAAATAAAAAATAAAAAATCAAATAGAAAATTAAAAAAAAAAAAAGATATAGTAGCTTATTATTTTTTTTTTTGCATAAATAATTGTGATAGGTTAAAAAAAATATATACAAAGCATTCTTATTATTAAAAATTTGCAAAACAGAGATTCAACTAGTGGTTTTATGTTAATTAATACAAAGTATTACAGTATTATCAAAGTCTAGAAATTGAAATTAAAATAGATAAATATAAGGCATTCTATTATTTTCAAATTCTGCCAATATTAGAATTTTATTGGCTTTAGCTATATTTTTATTCTTATTGTTTGCTTAGGCATTTGAATATTTAGCAGTGATATTATTACATTTTATTAGTTTTTATAAAATGTATTATAAGCAATAAAAGTTTATAAGCTTTATTATAATGTTTGATTGGAACTGCTTGTAAATTATTTTCGTTAATATTTGTGAATTTTGATGTGCAATAATCGGGTCCCAGTTCAGATTTGGGTTTGATAATACAGTTCGAAGTCTGAATACAGAATCGAACCAGATTTTCAATTTGAATTTGGTTTTGCACAAAATTTGGATTAAATTGGACCATGTAGAACACTACCTGTAGTGTCCTTCAGACAATAAATAGAAACCATTTAAGGTTTATCATAGGTCAGTTTGTTTTTTATATTATACCTAATCTAGCTGTTAACACATGGATATCAGGTATACTATTGCTTTACCTGTAGCATTTTTTTTGTATTAACTAGGTAAATAGAAACCATTCAAAGTCTGAAGAACCAAATATAAATTTTTTTTTTTTTTAATTCTTTAACAGTCTTGTCAAAGCTCAAATACAAATTATTACAACTATTAGACTAAAAACAAAGTTTAAAGCTATTTTTAATAATCACTAATTTAAAATTGCAAACCCAACATCACCCGGCTGCATATTATGTGCCCAGATGCGACTTGTCACACCAACCCACATGTGAGTCAGAAGACATTGTTAGCTCTATTAAGAACTAAACCAAAATGGGGTTAACCCACTCTCAATCCATTTTACAAAACCCTTCTCAAACAAATGCTTTATCTCTGCTGTTCTCTCAATATTTGCTACAATACTTTCATTATTCTGTTTAATGTTGATCTTGGTTTTCTATTTTTTAGTCATAGTGCTACTTTTGCTATCAGGTGTAATATTTTTCTTACACCTGCTTCGTTTCACCACAGGAAATATACCGTTTATCTTTTCCCAGGTAACTACAGATCTACATCTCTTTTGCCAGATCTCATCACAAAATGCATTTTTAACAATTGTCTTGTATTTCAATATTGCCTTATTTATAACTCTTCTTGATAATTGCCAGTTTAAAAGCTTGTCGACTACTTCACTTGGGATGAGCCCTCGAATATAATCTTTTCTTTACTCTAGCTGCTTTTCAAATATACTACCAACCACTATCTTTCTGAAAACTTCAATAGAAGCTCTTTTCTATATACTTTGCCTATCCTGTTCCAAACAATCGAACATGTTACATCTTCAATTATGTCCCAGAAAAAGGAAAAGCTAGTACACTCAACTAGGTAATCAGTTGTCTCCTTTTCAACTTTGCAACTAATATATAAATCTTCTGGATATAAGTCAGGCCTGCGTTTTTTCAAGACTGAAAGAACTGGTAGATTGTCACTTATATATTTAATTCTAAATGCTATACTTCTACTTGCACTATAAGACTTGTACTTGTTCCCTGTTGCTTTTCTATTTTGACGCTATAATGCTTTCCAATCACGGCTGGTGTCTTTTTTACTTTCAAATATTCGTATAGTATGTGAACTCCTCTACTCTGTACTAGTTTTAAGGCCAAATAGTGTTTTAGCTATTTTTCTTGTAGATAACTCTAATGGTGTGTTGTTTAAACAAACTGTATATAACTTGCAATGGTTGTTTTTAACTAGTAAAAACAAGATTTAGTCTAGCTGTGCTTCTTCTTTTGCCAGTTAATCAACTCTTTCATTCCATCTCATATTGCTATATGCTTTAACTTTTACTAGGTCAAGTGCAATATTCTTCGACTTGCAGATATCCAGAATTTTGATCACCAAGTCAACGTTTGGCCTCTTGCTCCACAATTTCGTATTGGTTAGCAATGCTGCATTAGACAAACTTGCTATTGCTACTGCACTATCGAGTTTAATCTCCACTTCGCTATTGTATTTAACCATTAACAATAATATCCAAATCACTACTAACTCTGCTTTCGTTAATGATAGCTATCTACTAAACCGTACTTTTCCTTCTAATATTATCTTTCTTTTACTACTATTGTTACAAAGTAGGTTGTAACACAATGTAATGTTGGCATAGTGTAGAATAGATTATATTTTATAAATTGTATTATTATATATTAATTTAGTATTTATTAGTATTAGCTATTATTATATTTTATAATGATATTTATTATAGTAATTTTAGAGATGATATTGGCTAGAGAATTGAGGCACAGTAATGCTGCACAAGTACCTCTCAGTACCTATACATGAGTACCTCTCAGTACCTGCACATGTGTATCTCTCA